TTATTTTAACTGAAACATTCCTTCAGCGAAAATAGCAAAAAAATGTTGCAAGCAAAAATAAAGTATTTTACAGTAATTAATTTATTCTGAGCATGCGCAGACGTTTTGTCAATGTTGCCGGGAGAGGCAATTTTTGATAAAATCGCGAAAAAGACCCACTTGGGATTTTCAGATCTGGAAAAAAAATTACGTGCATACTCGGAGGGGACATGCTCATCAACCTGCCGAGTTTCACTGATATCTGCTGTAGAATTTCTGAGAAAATGTTGGAGACGGAATTATGGACATAACCTGAATTATTAGTCCCCTTTTCAGGCTGCGCCTGAACGGGGACTAATAATCCCATCATTAACCATTGCAAACAATTCCCTTCTAGTGGTGGGAAGCAAAAATACATTTGTTTTTACTATGAAAGGTTAAATTGTAAGATAACAGATTGGGTGTACATAATTTTATTTTGGTTAGCTGGGATTTATATCTGAATAAATACTGTGGAATACTTTATTTTAGCTGGATTTAATTTTCGCTGAAATGCTATTTTGGGTGTTTTGTATGGAATTTATTTTCACTGATTATTGACAAGTTGAATGTGAATTATAGGAAAAAAGTATATTCGCTGGATTTTATTTTCACTGAATAATAACTTTGGCAAAAATAGCGAAAATGAATTCCAAGCGAAAATAAAGTACCGGTATTCTACAGTAATTCAATTTTTTCTTGCAAATTTGCATACGAGTGAAGTGCGCCACCATATGGTAAAGCAGGGAAATGTTTCAGAGGATATTTGATTGATCCTAATCAATCTTTAAAGCATGTATTCATGTATTTTATAATAAATGCTAAATATTCAACATAACTTTTTTTTGACCTAATTGTTTAAATCGTAAACTATTAGTAAATTTTTTTTTTCAAAATTAGGCCAGACTTTTTCTATTCCTTGTTTCTCGAGTTTTTATGAGGCAATTTTTTTGAGGAGGGTGGGAAAAAAAATAAAATTTTAATTTTTTTTTTCCATTCGATTTGTGTGATTCTCAAAGAATTGTAAGTGAGATCATTGATCGGAGAGAAGAAATGAAATAAAATTTTATTCAATGTATAACCTTGTTTCTCATCTGCGCGAGACTTCCGTACCTTGATCATGATACTCCCACGAAACTTGTATTTGGTATGTGGGGGACGGTAAAAAAATGAAGATAAAAATAATGTTTTTTTAGCAATTTTTTTTGCGCTTACAAGTCGACGGGCACGAGAAATTACGCTGAAATAAAATTTTATTTTTATTTCATTATCAGCTACTGTTCATTCGGCGGATTGGCGAAACAAGGGATAATAAAAGTCTGGCCTTACTTTGAGTCACTTCATATACAGAGAAAGTAATGAAGATAGAAAATCTTGCTTTAATGAATAATCATTTACAATAAAATGGGGATAATCTACGCCCAGTGTCTATGGATTGTTACCCACTGCATTTGTAATTTAATCTTCTCAAATTTTGTTTTGTATAAAAAAAATAGTATCAGGTATTGCTCCAGCTTTTTTTCAATGTTGGTGTACATGGCAAGCAGTTGATAAAACAGAGGAAAATAAAATAAATACTTT